GAATGTTAAACTGTAGATCATAATATGCTTCAGGATCCACCTGAATGTGAAAAAAAAGTTAGTATCAATTCCTTTTTCCTTTCCTTCAAGCCTCCTCCCACCAGTGATTCTACCTTCTGGCCCTGAGGCCATCACTGCCTAACTCCACGTAGGAGAATATATCTAAGGAGCTCTGGTTCTTATCTGAGCTTCATCACTAACTAGTTGTGATTTGAGGGGAAGTTCCTAACTATTCCTGCCTTAGTTTTCACTATTGCAAAAAATGATTTCTATTTGTAGCTGGAATGTAGCAATTTGAAATAATACGATTATCTTTTCCATGCTTCTTTCTACTTAAGCAAACTAACAGACTTCTTTTTTATTTTTGGAAATGGAGATATTAAACAGCTCTTCATACTTTTCTAGAACTTCAGTAAACTTAATACACTTATTATGCAACTCTTACCCATTTAGCCATTGGATCACAGCTTTACGTGCGCACACGCTAAGGAAAGTCACTGGCCATCCATATGGTGTTCAGCTGCTTTTTCATTAGTTTGTTGCTCATTTTAGTCCAGCTTTTATATGCCTCAAGTGCTCTAATTTCTGCCATTATCATAAACTAAATATGTTGTATGCTTATCTGTATAGGATATTGTATTGGGAACTGGAGAAACAATGATACAAATATATGCAATTCAGTGTCAGAAGAGATTTGGAGATTATTAAATAGCACCCATCATTTCACAAATAAGGATATTGAGGCTTCTTGAGAGTAAAGTCATTAATTAAATTATTTTTTCTTTCATTCATTCAATAAATATTTGTTGACACTCTAGTAGGAGCCACATATTTTTCTAGGCACTGAGGGTAAAATAGTCAACAAACAACGGCCCTCAAACAGTTTACATCTTAGTGACTTTATGTGCATATTGTTAGTAGAATACAGTGGAGATCAGGAGACTGGAAGGATACAATTATATTTTCAAAATATAGGTCATTTAATTACCATTAGAAATTCCACTAACCATTTGTAATACTATTTATCTTCTGCCAGAATTTTGTACAAAAAAGCTTTTAAATGAATACAGAATTATCCCAAATAAAGACCAATTTTTTTCTATAAAACAAAATTACAATGATGATTTGGTTTTAAAAAAATGTGATTTGAATGGACGGCTATATACTTTTAAGAACAAAATAACTCTTGTAAGAATCAAATTGCAGAGACTCACAGCTCGTATAAAGAGGAAATGCAGATCTTAATGTGTCTCAAGAAAATAAAAGAGGTTAAAGCAAAAGAAAATCCTGTTAATACTGCCAAAGTATGACATCTCAGAAGAAAAATAGATGTTTGCTGAGACCTGCTGGCCTCTGAAGGTAGTCAGTCAGTCAGTCAGTCAGTCACCCATTTCTCTTTGGAGCAAAGGAGACCAAGCACAGTATGAACTCGTGATCATGTAAAAATGAGACTGGAAGTAGTACAGGGTGGGCATTCTTCCTTGGAGTAACAATGTGGAGAAACGAAGAAGTCCTCTTATATGTCCTTCATCAAATGGGCCTATAGTTCTGAATTCACTGTGGTTCACTCACTCTTTTCCAAACCTATTAAGTCTCAAGGAAAATGTTCCATTATGTTCCTAAATTGCAATTCTTCATACAATCATTAGAATGTATAAAACTCAGTGGTGTAGTGATACAAAACTTAAAACTAAATTTAGTAATCACTTGCTTTCTGTCTGTAGACAAAACTCAGTGAAGTTCCCTTACTCATTTTAATCCCTGTTGATAGACTTAAAATGCCTTAATCTCAGAGGAAAATCATGAAATAATTTAAAAATTTTTACTTATTCATCTTGTTTCTTATTGGTCAAACAACTTCAAGGAAATCCTTTGCCAATATACTTACAAGTTACTGTATCTGATAAATTGTAGAACACATGTATGAACGTTTAAATTTTTAGATTTTTTAGTTCCAAGTAAAAATGTAAAAATGCAAAATTAAAACATTGATTAATAAATGTTTACCTGAAATATTTAGAATAACATTAGTTCTATGCAATTGTAATGTGACTCTGAGCTCAAGTGGGTTTGATTAGCTGATTTATGAGATCTGCGTTTCAAGCAAGTCTCCTAAAACCTCATCAGCATTTGAATATGGATCAGCAATGAAAAAAACCAACCAGAAATGAACCCAAGTCCAGTTCAAAAACTATTATGTACATTCAGTCACAGTGTATCTGAAAAATAACATTTGAGGCCAATATGCTGTTTTGTATTTCCCCTAAGCATTCTAGTATTAAATCAATTTCTGCATCAAAATGAATTTAGTGGGTGACATATCCATTTAGAGGGAGGGGGAGAATCAGTAGTGAAAAAAATGCAAAAATTTGGTTTTCTAACAACTGCACACGATGAACTTTCTAGTACCAGTAATGTTGACATCAGTAATGTCTCTAATAAACTATTCCAAAAGTGAATTAACTAGTGTTGGCAGCTGTGCTCTAAGTCGTCACAAATTTTACTAACATATAGGATTGGTTGACTTGATTGGCAAAGATCCTCAAGGTCAGTAACACTGTTTCTGTTTCTCCTGTTGTTACGGTGAAGCTCACTGTTTACTGGCATTTTAAACACTGGTGGTATAATATCTTATTTACATATGTGACTCCTCAGTTCTTTAATGTAGAAGGACTTTAATTGGGGTTACCTGAATTTCTCTCCCAATACCCCTATGTGAAGGAATCTAAAAATATACACAATCTGGAAGCTTGATTGTCGCTGCAACTTGAGAATAACTGACGCCATCTGGGCAGTCCTGATTAACATTCAAAGTAAATAACCACTGTACCATTCAATGTGGATGGCAGCCTACCAATACTGTGCCTCTAATTAAACAAACAGTGAGTAGAAACATCACTTACTGGAAGGGTTTTTATTTTGAGATCTATAATAAAGGGCACCCATGCATAGGTTATAAGAAAATCTGTGAAGAATAATATGCAGCTGAGTGGCTACTATAACTAAAGATTCAGCAGGTAATCTTTGAATCTACTTTATAGGTATGTATTGGTATTGGGAGTTTACTCGTGGATTAAAGCATTTTACTTCTAATTGTTGCATAGATTTACAAATGGAAAACTTAATCTTGTGCATCTTTACATCTGATACACAACCTAGTAGAAAGCCTTCTCTGGTGATAACTGTGCAAAGACATGCATATATCAAGTTGAATATTCCATTTGAACAGGATTTCTCTCCCTTAAGGGGAGAAAAATATCCATTTAATTGTTTCAGACTAATTTTTTCACTGCTTTTTGGTCCCGAGGAAAAGTCCAAAAGGAATTAGGATTGTAACTACTTCTTATAGTCCTCAGAACCCTTTCCACAATTCCTATACTGCATTTTGCCTTAAGGTGATACAGTTGTGTATTTAGAAAGATGTAGAAGCTAGTATTCGGTTCTCAACCTTCACAAGTTTTCCTCATTACCAGCTAATTTGAGACCTAGTAAAACTTGGTGCATGATCACAAAGGTAATGGGGAGGGCGGTGAGTTATTTATTCATAGCATCAATTGTTAAGTGACCAAAATATAGGTCTTTAAACTCACTCTGATTCCTTCCATTACTCCCTTCTCTGAGTCTTACCTTCAGCATGTGTACCGCTAAAGACACTTCAGAAAAGCTTATCCAGTGTCACCACAGAGGACTTTCAGGTCACACTATTTTGAGTGTTTATCTTATGCTTAACCACCGTACACCTGACTCGCATATACACCAATGTTTACCTAGTCCCTTCCACTCCTAGTTGAGTTTCATACATTGCTAGGAGTTTCACACTCACTGAACAAATGGAAACGGCTGTTAACGTTCATACACATTCACACAACTTAGGTTTCCAGCATGCGGACAGCAAAAACTATGCACCGTTCCGCTCCGGCGTCCAAGCAGCCAGGCGCAGACAGTCCTCTCTGGTTGCTGATGCCGTGACCAGAGAATGCGAAAACCCAGCAGATACTCCATTTAAGTAAGTGGTTGTAAAAGCTAAGCCGCATCTTCTCCCACCTACATCCCCGTCCCTTTGTCTTTGGTGGTGCGGTGGTGGGGTGCTGGGGTGGCCTCACTAAGGGCGCCCCCTTGCCTCCTTCCCAGCGCGCAGGGCTTTCTGCGGTCCGTTTCTGCTCCGGGCTCAGCGGCGCGCCGGTCCCTGTCGCCCCGGCTACCCTCAGGCTCCAGCCCGGCCGGGGGACCGGCAGGCAGGAGAGCAGAGGGAAAGAGTCGCCTTCCAAAGGGGCCCCGTCCAGCCCGATGCCGCAAACCCCCCGTCTAGGACTTGTTTGCCTCCCAGAGCAACAAGTGACCGTCCCCGGGGACTCTTGCAACCCCGCGGCCCGCAGCTCCCGGGGTCCGTCCAGTCCGTGCAAACCGCGCGAAGGCCGCTCAGACCCGCTCCTGCGCAGGCGGTTGACACCCTTTCCCCGAGCGCGACCAGGACACCGGGTCCGAGGCGGCCCCCTCCCCGCTCTTGAGAAAGATCTGTCACCCGAGACTTCTTTCAGCCTCCGCATTTCTGACAGCCGATCCCACCCCATTTCCTCCAAGTTTTCGGAAGGGGCGAGAGGATGCCCTGGGGTGGGGAAGCAGGGGAGCATGTGTGCGGCCACGGCTGGAACCGGTGCCCTCCCGACTCCGCTCCACAGGTGCCCCGGGGCTTAGCTGTCACCTCACAAGGGGGATCGATAAGCCCTGGGGCTTTGCCGACGGTGGCATAACCCTAGAAACCCATCCGTCCTCCGGGCTCGGGACTGTCGGACGCTCGACAGGTGGCAGCGCGCGTCCCCCGCCCGGACACTTTCTGCGCTCGGGGGCCCAGGCGGTGCCCCGGGTCCGCGCGCCCGCTGCCCCCGCCCGCCTCCCGCCGCGGGACGGAGGCCCCGGGGCCCGGCAGCCCGCCTCCCGGAGCTGCGGACGGCGCCGCGAGGCAGGAGGGCGCCCCGGGCCGGGGCGGGGCGCGCGCTCACCGGTGCTGCCGCCGCCCTGGCCGCCGCGCTCCGCGGGGAAGATGCCCGCGCACGTCTCGCGCTCCACGCGGCCCGCGAAGCACAGCTCGGTGACGATGCGCAGCGCCTTCTGGCACAGGCTGCCCACGCCGTCCTCCTGCGGGAGGCTCATCGTGGGCGCTCCGCCGCCGCCCGTCCCTCCCGAGCCTGCAGGCGGGCCCCGGGCGCTCAGCCGCAGCCCGCCGGCGGCTCTCGGGCCGGGCGCGCGCCGGGGCGGCGGCGGCTCTCAGGCGCCCCGCGGCGGCCCCATGGCGGGAGCGCGGGCCGCGGGGCTCGGCGGCGGCGGGGTCGGGTTCGCGCCGACTCTCCGGCCAGCGGGAGCCCCGGCGGCGCGCGAGGCGCGGGGAGGCGGGCGAGGCCGGGGCCCCGACTCGCCGGAACGCCCCCCGCTCGGCCGGGGGCCTGGCGGCGGCCAATGGCAGCTCAGCGCGCGCCCCGACGCCCGGCGGCGGAGCGCGCGGCCCCCTCCCGGGAGCGCCGCGGGCGGGGAGTGTTCGGGGCGGGGTCGGGGGGGGGGTCCCCGTGCCCTGCGGGGCGGCGCTGCCGAGGCGGGGGGCGCTCGCGGGGCGCCTCTGTCCTCCCGGGACCTCCCCAGCCTCCGAACCTCCCCCCCAGCCTCCTCGCCGCCAGCGCGACTCCAGGTGTGCGTCGATGTGCTCAGGCCGCTTCGACTTTTGCGAAAAGTCATTCCAACTGAAGACAAACTGAAAAAGTTAACTCTTAGGAATGAGTTGATGACTAGTCAAAGCGGACATGCATGGCCTGGAAAGCCAGCCCTGGAAAGCTTTCTAATGACTCTAACGTGAATGGTTTAGAGACAGTATTGAAACCAAGAGGTCTTTTAATTTCTAGTAGTGAAATTCACCATAAGGCACATTTCCTTTTTACCCAGTTGTTCTTTTTTTATGCATAATACTTTGAATAGGCAAATTTAAATCTATTGCTTTTGATTTTTTTCTCTTTTTTTAAACCCTGTCAGGTAGATCATAGATCATACAAGAAATATGTTATTTATATTAATAGGTTTCTGTCGATTAACCCGTGACTGGCAATTGAGAACGCACAATTTGGCTCCTTTATCACTTTTAGAAGCGACTTAAATACTGAAAAAAGACAAAGTTATGAATTAAGAGGAGTTAAGGTTATGTTCAAAACCGTTATACACACGTCTGCTTAATCTTGAAGAAAGTGCTTTCAGATCTTTATCACAGGCCGTAAAATGAGGGGCGTGCTTCTCTACTGGTCTTAAAATTCTCTAATGCAAACTGGTGCAGATTACTTATGGAGCTAAAGTTATAAAATGATATTAATCAGTATGTGCCACAAGGTTACAGTAAATGCATTTACATTGTTTCTAAATTGTTTTCAGGCAGAGTTTAGTATAATCTGAAGATTGATGTCACATTTATTAGGTGAGAGATGCTTTGTTTTTGAAGTGGAATATCCTGAACGTGTTAGCATATTTCTGCTGGTGGAATAAGTAGTCTTATTTTAAACTGCTAGACAGTTTATGATAAATTATTTCCTCTGTTAGGACACTATGGTAAAGCTTACTATAAATATGAGGCATAGCCGCCCAGTAGGTAAGCATTCATTAGTTGAATCATTTTGACCTGATTCATAGGACAATTGGTACAGTGAGGACTATTTTTATCATGAATTACCCACAGATTAAAATCTGTAGCCTTTATTTACTTGTTATTATGCACATTGATTGGAGTAGTTTTCAGATCAGATGACTAAATAGATAATTTCACTGTCAATTAAAAAATATATTGAATATCTATTGTATGTTTGAGCAAAGTAACACACTTGAATGAGGCCCTTTCCAGTTGTCCCTAGCCTCCGGCGCTCCACAGTCTAGACAGACCCATATTAAAAAGCGTGCAGTACAATGCTGGGCTCTCTTATTTACTGTGTGAGCAGAACTGTTTTGTGGGATGAACAAAGGAGTGATTTATACTATTACAAACTCTCATTGCTTAAATGGAGTAATGGATAAAGTCTCTCTACTGACCCTCTTATGCTTGATTTCAGTGTTAAATATTATTAAGTAAACAAATTATGAAAATAACTTTCCTGGTATTTGGTGATGCGGTTTTTGACCCATTGCTCCTCTTACTGCTGTGCTTCCTGCACAAGCAGAATTCATTTCACTTGGATATTCATTTTCCTGAATTTATTTGTCTGAAATAGCCTTGCTTTCATCTAAAATTAACACCACAAGGTTTTGATTTTTTCTTCTTTGTTCTTTAGCCCATCTCACACAGCTCGTTAGCAGGTGAATCAAACCAGTTTTTCCTGTCACTTATTAACAGCTCCTGTAAGGGTTTTTGGGAAAAGTAGAAACTGCATTCAAGGTCACTTTTATTTTCAAGGCTGAAGGAAAAGAGGACAAGAATTTCAGTTCATAATCTTCAAAATGTTTCGCCAATGATTTCAATTAACAAGAGCCTATCAAGTAAAACCGAACAATGCAGATTGACATTTACTTCCCCACCCACACTGTGAAGGAGTTGCTGAGACAGTAAAGAAGAGGAGATCAGGTTAGACGGCTATTTACTGAGCACCATTTACTGTTTAAGTGCGGGAGGACGTATCAATAGTCAAAAAACACTGTACGGGTCTCTGTCACAGCTTCCTATTGAAAGACCTCTGTGTTACGTGAAGAAGGATTTGGTTTGGAGGTGACAAACCTCAGAGAATTCCCACATGTGCTAAGCTAGCCTCTCGAGTGGTATTTGACACTGCTTTTCCTGCTTACTCAGCTAAGCCCCTTTCAAAATCTGGAGGGAAGGGAGTTACTTTCTTAGGTAGAGAGCTTCCTAAGGTGCTGGGAATTTGGAAATCATTACTGACACTACAATTTCAAATATTACTTGACCCCCAAGACAGGAACTAAGAGGGTGGGTAACAGAAATCTCAGAACAGCTGAGCTCAGACTTAATGAAGATTTAAGACCAATATTACATTTTAACTTACTGCAAGCTTTCCTACCTAACTTTTATGTGTTCTACAGGCAGCTCAGACTCATAAGAGACACATTCTAATTTCCTGCACACCCGTGGGCCTGCTCCAGCATTCCTCAGTTCGGAGAATGGCATTGCCACTCATTCCCAGCTGGTGATAATGGTGCCTGGACTCTGCTTTACTTGGAAGGGTATTATATTGAGAAGCCCAGTTCTATTCTGACTGCAGATCCCTTTAATCAGCCTGCCTCTTCATTCTGGAAGGATAAGTGTCTTTTTGTTCATTCAGTCTGATGGATACTCAGTAAGAATTTCAGATGGAGTCTCAGCTTCAGATCCTTTAACTTTGAGAAATTCTTTTGATTTATTCATTCAGTGATTCTCTGTCTTCTTCATTTCTGTGTAGTCTGTCCCTGAAAATCCTTAATGTTACATTTTTGACCGCTAGGATTGAATCTCCAATTTTTTTTTGTTTCTCTTCTGTTTTCCATCCCTAAATTTGGGGAGATTTCCTTGACTTTCTGCTCTGAGCCTTCTATTAAGTCAAGTATTTTTTTTCCTGTTTTCCATTAAATTAGCAATTTCAGCGATTACAGTGTTAAGGTATGCATAGTTTTTTGACTACTGATTATTTTATTTCTTATTTTGTGTGCTTTATTTACCTGGCTCTATTAATTGTGTATTTTTAACACCCCCTCTCCCTGGCTCTGCTTTTGCCATGTGTCTTTTTCCTCTGAATAACTTTTTTCTCTTTGTTTAGTTGTTGTTCTTCATGTTGTAGGGTTTTCTGAGGTTTCTGCTGATATAAATGATTAAATACAATGCATTTATATTTAAAAGCACTATAAGAAGAAGGTCCAAGTGCATTAGGAAGGCTTATAACCAGTGGGCTTCACTGAAGGGCCATTCAGGGTATTTTGAATCAGAGTATCCCCAAATATCAGGAAGGGCCTATCTAATCTTTCTTTAGGGATGTGGGGTAATAATTACAGTCCACCTGCTTTTGTTTGACTCTCCTTGTACAGTCTGGGGCCTCAGTCTGCCCTTCCATAGTTCTGGTGTCTTGCTCTGGAGCATTTCCAGTTTAATATTCCCAGGAAAAGACTTTTATTTGCAAGGGTAATCACTTGACCCCAAGAGTTGTGTAGGTGGACCTGGAGCCTCAAGACACCTTAAGAATGACTTCCAGCCCTGCCCTTTTTAGCCCCTTCCCCTATCCCATCTTCTGAGGATCAGTATAAGGTACCTGTTTGTGTTTTTTCTGACACTTTCTACGGGGAACACTAGCGTGCATTGCTGGCTGGCGTCTCTGGAAGCTGAAGTTAGGCTGTTACTTCTGGCCCCCGGCCCCAGTCTTGTAAATCTGATGCCTTTGGGCATTTTGTCGTGCCCTCTGTGTCCTCCAATGCTTTGGGTTTATAGCTTTTCATTACTTTATTGGCATTCTGAGTCATTTCAGGTACATTCTCAGGGAAGTTGGGAGAAGGCGTAGAAGGTAGAGTGAGTGACTGAAGTGGAGTATGTCCTTTGGGAAGGAAGAGGATGGTCATTTGTGTCTTAGGAACAGATGCTTTTGAGCACCTGCTCTGTATCAGGTCTGTTATATATTTTATATATGTGATTTAAAATGGTGATGACAACTTTGATATATAAGCTCTATAAAACTAAGAAAGTGCTGGGCCAATTTTTAAAAGTTATACAATTTAAACATTACTGGTTGTTTTGGGAAGTTTCAAAGGGAGGATATATTGGTCAGATGTTTTATAAATCCTTATGATTATAATTTATTTATTGAACAAATATTCATGCAGTTTAAATATGATAAACAGTATGTAAGTTTTTAGCAACTTTGTATTCCAAGTCCCATTCTTGGAAGAAAGTTAGCCTAGAAAAAAAGCAAGTTCTAACTTGGTAGACTAGAACCAATTTTCCTAATATCAAATACACTTTTCCCATCAGAAAAGATGATAAAATTGTCCTATTTTTGAGAGCAGAACTGGGGTAAATGACGTAAATACCAGGAAGGCAACTTTTGCTTAATGTTAGAAACAACTTTCTAATTATGATGATTATTTTCACAATATGTCAATTTTAATGTGTTGAGTAAGTTTTCTAAAGAAGCATTTGTGATATTCGTGGCCCCAAATATTAAAGAATAAGGGCTAGAACACAGAATGTGCCTACAGACTAAGGACTATACTGTTTTTCTGAGTAGGTG